ATATATATATGTTATTACGCTTTTATTATGTAGACATTATTTCAAATTAAAATTTGTATGGTGTAGACATTTTAGTCGATGCACATGATGTTTATCGCTGGAATATAAATAAAAGAATTTAAAAAAAATATATTTTAATTACATTTTCTTTATGTTACATATATATTATGTTTTACTATGTAGCTATCATTCCAAAATAAAAAAAAATTGTACGATATAGATATCTTTCCCTTGCAGACAACAAGCCAAATAGATATTTTTTCGTTGCAGATAACAAGCCAAAGTAGCTGTTTATAATTGAAAATAATGTAATTGTTTATTTCTAAGCATATATTTGATAAACAAAAACGTAAATTCGTTATAATTTGTTCCGTTTAAAGCATGTAATTTTTTTTATTGAACAAGCAACAAACGGCTTATAAGGTAAGGACACTTATAAGATTTCCTTAATATTGTGTAAAAGATGACACAGGAAAATGTTAACTTACTGCTTGAAGTTTCTTCTGAAAGCGGATTGATTTTTAACTTCTGTAATTTAACTACATCGAATCAAACAGAAAAATCGATTGTTCTTCCTCTAACTTCATGGAAATTGTGTCAGTTGGCTAAGTCATTTTCTATTCACATCGATTTCTATTCGCAAAATAATTCTTTATTAGCAGCATCCATAAAAATTTCACGGTCTACCTGTTTTTGAATTTTCTGTAGAGTCGTAATTCTTAATTTGATGATTGAATACATTCTTTGCAAATACCCACGACTATTAAATAACCTTGGTCTTTTTATTCTTTTACAGTGAGGTTCATCCCGTACAAGGCCTGAGGGCCACTCGAGGTAGAGGGTTACATTAAGAGGTAGATTATAGGGGTACAAAGAGAAGATAACGGTTAACCCTAGACTTGTAAAGGTTAAGATTGAAGTGATCTGGGAAACATCAGCGTGGGAGTTGTCTCTCACTGATGGAATACAGAAGGTATGTGTATAGTTTGATACAATGGCATGGCGGGTCTTAGCCGTGAAGGTTACACCTGGGCAGAACCAAGGAATGTAGTTCGTCCGAGCTCTTTCCATGGAAATAACGATAAAGCAGCGAGAATCTTGCCACATCCCACCTGAGAGGTTATAAGGAGGGAAATAATTTGTCATTCACAAGGACTCGGAAAGGTTTTTGGACTCAATCGAAACTGAAAAGTGATGTCTGGGCAGCTCCCACCCAAATATGACAACAGTACTTCATTCTCGGCCCTATCTGGTTCTTGTAAATATAGAGAATGGCATGGGGAATCAGGTCCTTACTTGAGCGATACAGGCAGCGGAACATTTTCTCTGCATCTTTAGCAATGGACCGAACGTACGTATTTTATTTCTGGTCATGTGTGGGTTTATGTCCCAATCCGATCAGCGATAATGGTTTGGTTTTCGAGACATTGAATGTAACCAGCCAGACTTTCCCCCACTTTGAAGTGCCAGATCAAATGAGAAATGGCTTTTATCATCTAATGTTGAATTTGAGGTAAAGATCGAGGCGAAGAGGTTCGCCTTCTGTCGAAGAATATTTGAACTCAGGACTATTTATGATAGTGAACACCCACTGAGATGTTAGAGCAAGATCGAGGCCTTCCTTATAAAGAATCCACTCATCGTTACTTGTAGTAGTTCGGGGTTCGGTCAGGGATAACGAAATGTAACTAGTTTGTTTTTAGAGGCATTGAATGTAACCAGTCTGCTTTTGTCCACCACTGAGATGTTAGATCAAGATCGGGGCCTTCCTGATAAAGAATTCAATCATCGTTACTTGTGCTCTTTCAGGGTCCAATCACCAATAATGAAATTTAACTCGTTTGGTTTTCGAGGCATTAACTGTAATCAGACATTCTCTGCCTCTACTGTGAAGCTAGTGTTAAATCAGATGAGAAATTGCCTTTGTCAGCTAATGTTGAATTTGAGGTAAAGATCGAGGCTCGCTTTCTATCGAATGATATATGACCTCGGGACTATTTATAATAGTAGACACCCACTGAGATATTAGAGCAATATCGAGGCCTTCCTTATAAGGAATCCACTCATCGTTACTTATAGTAGTTCAGGGTCCAATCAGCGATAATGGAATGTAACTCTTGGTTTTCGAGGCATTTAATGTAACCAGCCACTCTTTTCCGCACTGTAAAGTTTTAGTGTTAGATCAGATGAGAAATCAGTTGCCAGTCTCTGACCATCAAGAATTTTAGAGGTGCACCCGTATATCGTTACATCATCGGCATAGAATATACTTAGACAGATCATTTATGTACGTCAAAACAAGGGTTGGTCCGAGAAATAACCCCTGGGGGATGCCAGCATTTGCCACCAGAATTTGGGAATTTCTGGAATTTTGTCGGGGCCAGTAGCTTTTCTTAGTGTCAAGGCTTTTGAGACTTCTCTTGCTGTAACGAAAATATTACTGAGATTGTGCACAGTGAAACGTGAGAAGTGACTGAAGGATGGCCTTTGTCATCTAACTTTGAATTTCAGGCAAAGATCGAGGCGAAGTGGATCGCCTTCTGTCAAGGAATATATGACATCGGGGTCATTTATAATAGTGGCACCGACTGAGATGTTACAGCAAGATTGGGGCCTTCCTTATAAAGAATCCAGTCATCGTTACTTGTGGTAGTTCAGGGTTCGACTGGCGATGATAGAATGTAACTAGTTTGGTTTTCGAGGCATTCCATGTAATCAGCCATTTTTTCATTCACTGAGATGTTAGAACAAGATCGGTACATTCATGATAAAGAATCTATTCATTGTCACTTGTGGTAGTTTGGGGTCCAATCAGCGGAGATGTAATGTAACTAGTTTCGTTTTCGAGGCATTGAATGTAATCAGCCATTTTTCCACCCACTGAGATGTTAAAGCAAGATCAGGGCTTTCCTAATAAAGAATCCATTCATTGTCACTTGTGGTGGTTCGGGGTCTGATTGGCGATGATGTAGTGTAACTAGTTTAATTTTCGAGGCATTGAATGTAATCAGCCAGTTTTTCACCCACTGAGATGTTAGAACAAGATCGAGGCCCTCCTGATAAAGAATCTATTCATCGTTACTTGTGGTAGTTCGGGATCCAACTGGCGATGATAGAATGTGACTCCTTTAGTTTTCGAGGCATTGAATGTAACCAGCCAGTCTGTGAAGTTAGTGCTGGATCGGATGAGAAATCAGCTGCCAATCTGATTATCAACAGTTTTAGAGCTGCCCACGTATATCGTCGTATTATCGGCACATATGATTACAAATGATCTAAGGATAGACTTAAATAAAAAAAAGGGTTATTCTGAGAAGTGACCCTCCTCAGGAAGAGTTGAAATTTCTAGTGCACAGAATGAGGAAAGGAGGCTTAGATAATTTGACACTCACAGGACAGAGTAAATGCAAGAGGGCCTGAAGTAATCAGAGCTTAACTTACCGAACGAGTTTGTGTAAATGGTTGACAGGGTTTAGGAGAAATAGCAAAAATAGAAAATTTATTAAAAGCTTCAAAGGACAGAAAGTAGTGGAGAGCTATGATCTCTCATGTTCTGAAGAAGTATCTGCTACTGTAAGTCGTCTTTTAAGAACTCAACCTTATGTATTTCTGTAATATCTATCTTACAAGAAGTTTTTTTTTCATGTATTAACAACACATTTGTTCATGAAATATCCTATAATAATTGGGCTTCTTCCTCCATTCGTTTGATCGTACGACCATTACGCCCTGCCAATACCTCAGAAATAATGGCCATTTTTCCGCATTTAGTTCGCGTGAAAAGAGGGCTTTCAGTGAGAAAATGAAAGAAAAAAAGAAAGAAAGAAGCGGAAAGAGAGAGAGAGAGAGAGAGACAGAGACAGAGACAGAGACAGAGAGAAAGAGAGGTAGGGAGGGAGAGCGAGAGAGTGAGTGAGTGAGTGAGTGAGTGAGAGAGAGAGAGTCAGATTAAGCTGATAAGAAACAGATACTACATTTTGATCTCAACCAAAAGGTTGAGAAGCGATTATATTTTCCAGAGCGCTTACGTCACACCGGAAACGGCACATAGTCGAGGTTTAAAGAGGGTTTAATGGCGTTATCGCACAAAATTTGCCGAAGCCCCTTTGGTGTTTCCTCTTTTTGGGGACGCCTCAGGAACCGGGCTATGAACCCAGCCCCCGCCCGAAGAAATAGTAATGCCGTTGGGGAACGCAGCCTGCGGCTTGGTCTAATGTTAATTAGTACCGAACTCGGTCCAAAAGAACGAGAAGTCAAGGCGATTGTGATAAAAGTACCCGTTTTTCAGACTCACAGTGCGTCCTGGGTATGACGACGAATTACATCCGGCAGCAAAGTCACTGATTAGTAGGTTTTGAGGAACATGGGGCCACATCTTAATTTCTGTTGTTCTTGGGTTCAGCCTGACCTGTTAGGTTCCCAAATATGGGCAAATAGTTAACCCCTAAAGTGGCTTCAAAACGCTGTGAAAGTATAAAAATAGATCTTTATAATAAAATTAGCATCAATACATTTTTGACCCCCCCCAAAAAAAAACTACCAGCAATAATAAATAAATAAATAAATAAAAAATATTACCAGCAATACATTTTTGAAAGAAAAATATTATTAGCGATACATTTTTGATAAAAACCAATATTATCAACCATAGAATTTTGAAGAAAGAAAAAATATTACCAGTAATTTATTTTTGAAGTAAGAAATATTACAAGCAATAGATTTTTGAAGGAAAAATATATGACTAGCAATACATTTTTGAAGGTAAACATATTACCAGCAATACATTTCACTCTCAACCCATTTTACAAAAATACGGCAATGAAACCTAACCTAAAAATTGATTTCTTACAAAGAATACATATTCTATTTATACGAACCTATTGTAAAAATCTTGTCGGCATTAAATAACCCATTGAGGTGTTGTTATACCGTAAACAAAATAAATCAAACAGACGCAAAGTATCGAAAGGCAGAAACCAAGTAAAGGAATCGCCCCACCCCACCAAAAAAAAACCCAAAAAACAAAACAAAAAAAAACAACAAAACAAAACAAAAAAAAACAAACAACAGTTACCATAAAAAAAAATAATATCGTCTGCTGAATTATTTTTAAATTATTATTAAGAGAAATGTTCGTAAAGACAAAGGGGAGATTTTTGAAGTATTTAATATCTTCTGCTAATACCTCGTAAATACAACTGCGTTTTAATTGTGTAGAAAAACAAGACACATAAATGAAAGAAAGAAGGAAAGAGAGAAATCTTTTTGTTTGTGCACACTTCTTTAAATAACAATCAGCATTTATATGTAGGGAGGTTATTGCAATATTTTGTTAAAGTTGTTAAGCTCAAATATTTAACAATGTAATAGGGGAATTTCTACGGGTGTTTTATTGCCGTAGAACTCAGCATGGGCTTGTGGAGCCCCGTTAAGAATTGTAGAAAAAAAATCAATAGATTTAAGTAATATTATTAAAATCCTCAAAAAATTTAAGTAATATCATTAAAATCCTCTAAAATTTCTGTGCAGAACATAAGCTCCAGATTTGAATTTCCGCATTCGCATTTATTAACCAATCAGGGACGTTATTTCAAACACGCTGAAGTCTTTGAAAAATCACGACAAACATATTTGTCGTCTTCTATGAAATTTATGAGCTCACTCTACAAAATGACCAACAATATTTTCCCTCTTAAAAATAGATATTTAAAGATTTGGAAAAGTATTCATTAACCAATAAATATCTGAGTTTAGTAAGTTAATTTTTAGTTTCGTCGAATCTATCCATATTCTATGGTATTAAGTTAGTATTCAGTTTTTCCGTAAATCTTTGACCAGGGTTTGGTTGTTCGTTGTTATGAACAAGCTGAAATCTCATGCCTTTCGTATAATTAATTAATAAATTTTTCACGTATTTTATTCGAGTAACTTCTTACAAGGCATCGTGACATTAACGTAAATGAAGCAAATTTGAAATATAGGAACGGAGTTTTGTAAACAAAACGTTAGTAGTAGTTATAATGCAGCGTACCCGTCTGCTGACTACCAGAAAATTTCCCACATTGATAAAACAACGTAAATACGCGACACTCCTTATGTAGCCACATTCTGTTTCTTCTATCAGACTAACGCAATTGAATTGGTTGTATTGTAAAGAAAGAAAACAAAATATTTTGTTTGAATTTGTTTCGCAAGGATCTTTGCAATTCGTTTCTTTTCAATTTGAAATAATAAAATTTATTTAAATTTATAGTGCTTTGAAGTTTGTTTATTACTTAGCGTTCCACACGTTTATTCCTCTACAAGCTTATACAATCATTGCTTAAGAATTAAAATTCATCAGTGAATTAAAATAGGTAAACCGAGAAATTTTCACGAGTCTTTTTTGTTATGTTGAATTTGCATTCTGCCTTTTGATTATCTTTCTCAAAAATTATGTGTTTGTTCATGTTTTATTTGTTTGATTTTATATTTTTCGATACACTATCTCATAAAATCCGGGTAGACGAAAATCCACACATACGTAAGAATTTACTAAGGCAGGAAAAAAAAAAACAGAATGCTATTATCAGGCATTTGTGTTGAATAAACTAATTCTTGTACATTTTTTGGCACCTTTTCGTCATTAGGAAATAGTATTAATTAATGTTCATTTAACGAAACATTGGCTGAAAAAGAGTTAAAACTGCGAAGGTAAAAATTCTAAGCAAATACAATTGATAAAAATCTAGGGCCGGCTTTATGATTTATTGGTAACAAACTTTTTTTTTTATTTATTTTGGTTACGGCATTGAATTGAGGTAAGAAAGCAAATGGCGGACGGGTAAGAAGGAAAAGATGGAAAAGTTGCATTTTTATTTACGCCTCGTTGCCAATACGCATGCGCATGAGCTTGCATTGGTTTATGCCATTTTTGTTCGAGTGATTTTTGGTTTTGATTTTAGACAAAATTTTTCTTCATTTTCTTGCGTCTTTTGTCCTGACAGAGACGTAATCTGTTTCGTATTTTGTAGCTTTCGACGTTCTTTGTGGTGGTACAGACAAATATTGCGGAAATGAAGCACAGGGTAGGGAAGAGAAAAATAAATAAAAAAAAAAGAAGAAGAAATTTCGAAAAGAAATAGAAAGAGACACTGAGAGTGATAAAGAGAAAAGCGAAAAGTCGTAGGGAAAATGAGAGAGAGGAGTATATATATATATATATATATATATATATATATATATATATATATATATATATATATATAGAGAGACAGAGGTGAGAGAGTGAGATAAGAAAGCAAGGACAGACAGTGAAGTGGAGAAATAGAAGTACTTAAAAGAGAGGGATATATAATAGAGAGAGAATGAGAGATAAAGCGGTAGAAAAGAAAAATAGAAGAATTAAAAATGAGTAAGGGAGTGGGATATGCAATGGAGAGATAATGGAAAAGAAATAAAAGTAGTGCAAATGAGAAACATATATATATATATATACATATACATACATATATATATATATATACACACATATCTATCTATCTATCTATCTATCTATTTATATATATATATATATATATTAAGAAATGGACAAGGTCCGACAATTTATTTATTAAAGACATTTTTATGTTTAACGTTGTTATTTTTATAGATACAAGTATTTAAGCAAATGCTCTGTTTATGATAAACAGTATTAAATAACATTTACCGGCCTGAATGTCGAACCTTTTCTATATGGAAATATTCGTTCTTTTACCTCTAGGCTCAAAGAACCGTTCGGTAGACATAGGTAGGATGCAGGTTCGAACCGTCAAAGAACGAATATTTTCTATGAAAAATTTCTCGACATTCAGGCCGGTAAATGTTATTTAATACTGTTTATCATAAACAGAGCATTTGCTTAAATACTTGTATCTATAAATAACAACGTTAAACATAAAAAATGTCTTTAATAAATAAATTATCGGACCTTGTCCATTTCTTAATATATGACGTCATTTGTTTACATTTGATACGCCAGAGCAGTTATGAATGTACGAGATTCATAGAAGATTGGAGTTTATAAGCAGTAAATTCGACCTTGTCTACCGAACGGTTCTTTGTAGCCTAGAGGTAAGGCACGTCAGCGTATATGACGGTTCCGTATAGGATGCAGGTTCGAATCCTGTCAAAGAACGAATATTTTCTATGAAAATTTCTCGGACATTCAGGCCGGTAAATGTTATTTAATACTGTTTATCATAAACAGAGGATTTGCTTAAATACTTGTATCTATAAAAATAACAACGTTAAACATAAAATGTCTTTAATAAATATATATATATATATATATATATATATATGTGTGTGTGTGTGTGTGTGTGTGTGTGTATAGTGGAGAGAAAATGAGAGAAAGAGAAAAAAGCGGGGAAGGGAGTACGGAAAATGAGAGAGAAAGAGAGATGAAGAAGTAGAAGAAGCGAAGAAATAGACGTACTGAAAATGAGAGAGAGAGGGAGGCAGCTAATCAATGGAGTATGAGAAAGAGAGAAGCAATGAAATAGAAGTAATGAAAATGAGAGGGGGAAAGGGAGAGAGAGAGAGAGAAATACGTGAAAGGGAGAAGCAATTGAAATGTAATATAAATGAGTAAGCACGCGTGAGAGATTAAAATAATGTATAGAGAATGAGAGACAAAGGAAGAGCGAAAAGGAGAGACGAAAAGAAAAAAGAGGGGGTGAAAATGAGAAAGAAAGAGAGAGAAATAAGGACCGGGGAATGGAAGATAATGAAAGATGAATGAATTGTCATAAATACAAAAATGAAATCATAAAATAAAAGGATCAGTGATATTGGGAATGAGAGAGAGAATGAGAATGAGAAAGAGAGAGAGATAAAGAGAGAGATAATGAGAAAGAGAGAGATAAAGAGAGAGAATGAGAGGGAGAGAATGAGAAAGAGAGAGAATGAGAAAGAGAGAGATAAAGAGATAGAGAATGAGAAAGAGAGAGGGATAAAGAGAGAGAGAATGAGAAAGAGAGAGGGATAAAGAGAGAGAATGAGAAAGAGAGAGAAAAAGAGAGACATACTGAGAAAGAGAAAGAGATAGCGAGAGAGAATGAGAAAGAGAGAGATCAATAGAGAGAGAATGAGAAAGAGAGAGAGATAAAGAGAGAGAGAATCAGAGAGAGAGAGATATAAAGAGAGAGAGATAGAGATAAAGAGAGAGAATGAGAAAAAGAGAGGGATAAAGAGACAGAGAATGAGAAAGAGAGAGATAAAGAGAGAGATAATGAGAAAGAGAGAGAGAGAGATAAAGAGAGAGAGAATGAGAAAGAGAGAGAGAGAAAAATGAGAGAATGAGAAAGAGAGAGAGAGACAAATAGAAAATGAAAGAAAAGCAAAAGAACAACAAGAAATGAAAGTAAACAAATTCATAAAAGAGAGTATTAGTAATAATGATTATATATATATATATATATATATATATATATATATTTTATGTGCGTCGTATTAGGGGAAAGCGTGCAATATCAGTAATAGAGCTAGCGTAATAAGTTGTATAGATATGAGTTTATCACCCTGGGTTTCACGCTTTTGCGATCATCAGGCAAACGGTTTCATTTTTTAAAAAATCGATTCTATTTATGCTTGTTTAACTTTGTTTAATGGCGGAAGGGGGAATCTACTTCTGCTTGGGGTAGCACCATCACACACCCAGAGACATACATACAAGTGGACGCATTTTACTTCACAACACATTCATATAAGCAATTCGAGGCTCGGCGCAAATACATGTGTATATGTGTATATGCGTATGATAGTGCCACCTCGACCACATACATAAGTAGATTCGCCCTCCCTCCACCAAACATAGTCAAACAAGCATAAATAGATCCAATTTAAAAAAAATAAACCATTTTGTCTGATGATCGCAAAAGCGTGAAACCTAGAGACACAAACTCATATAGATACAACTTATTATATATATATATATATATATATATATATATATATATAAGTGTAATATAATGTGTAAATATAATCAAATAAATAAATGTGTATGCAAATGTACACACACACACACACACACACACACACACACACACACACACACACACACACACACATATATATATATATATATATATATCCATGCAATGAGAATATAAATTAACGTTCACAGCATGAACTCAAAAGAGTGCTCGATACCGATAGTAGAGCAATAATTTTGTCTATATGAATATATATATATATATATATATATATATATATATATATATATATATATATTGTTTTGTCCGTGTATTCTTTAATATATTGTAATGTAATTGTCATCTTTGATAATGGCTTATGTAAGCTTAGACAGGATTAATATATATATATATATATATATATATATATATATATATATATATATATATATATATATGTATAATGTAAAAAAAGGTGCTCAATGCAAAATGACAGAGCTGTTAAGTATATATTAATAAATATACATAATAGCCCACGCCGACAGTACGACTTAGAGTTTCATGCATTGCGAAATAAAAATGAAAAGTGCGAGAAAAAGAGAGAAAGAAAAATACGGCTCCCCTTAAATTAATTATTTATAGAGAAATTAAAGACCCCATCCCAGAAACAAATTAATTATAGCCAAATTAGACCCCCACCCAGAAACAAATTATTTATAGGCAAATTAGGCTCCGCGAACTCATATATGTACAAAGGGTAAAGCGAGATAAAGATTTTAAGTATACAATCCTAGAAAATCAGCGTGTGTCTCGTTATAGCTATCTGGTCAACTAGCTTGCCTCTCTAGAGCATTACACCAAAAATAACTTTGCCCCTCTTCGAGAGAATACAATTCTTCACTTTATGTACACCAATCCTTCATCCAATCAAGGCACCACTCTAATTTTGATAAAACCTTAATTGGTTGATTGATAACGATATTGATTGCCGTACAATGGCAATAGGGTAAACTCTGTCGGCTGGGCCTATAGAATACGCCAACTGAACCTCTGCAGAGGGATATACCCGCTCCCCAATGAGGCCACCTGTTTGCCCTAATTTCTGGGGACGAGATTTTGATGGTTGAGGGCTTCAGGAGTCGGGGTTAGATACTTCTGATTCCCAACACACTACTTTGGCCCTTACTTGGACTAAACAGGCGCTCAAAGAGGCTCACTCTGTTCAACCGGTCAGTCACGCCAAGACCTAGAGTCTACACCAATATCAATGTATGACAAAATATTTTCGGTATTAAATGACCCATTAGGAGTTGATATGCCGCTAAACAAACAAACAAAGCAATAGAGCAAATGTATAATGATTTAATCTGCGCAATTTTGGACTGCTTCTATTTATTTATTTGCCTTTGTGTTGTTTGCATTCATCATGATGTTAAGCTTTGGACATCAGCACAGGGTTGGGATGATGGAATTTTAGACTGGCGTCCTTTAACATTGACATTATTGTGTTAGCCTAGCGTTTTTGGCGTTTATGACAAGCGCAATACAAAAAAAATAAGCCTATTTCATCCAGTCTATAATTTGGTAAAAAAATAATATGCATCTTTTCATACGTGAAACAGAAAGTTGGCTGTTTTGTTTGGTTCATGCTGCAAATAATGTTTTCTACACCACTGCTTAATTCCAAAGGGTCCTGATAAAGCGATGGCGCTGTAAAAAACTGCATAATTTTGTCCAATGGAGTGGTAGAAATTTGAAAGGATTTGTCATTTATTTATGTATTGCAGGAAAAGCATTGCAACAAAATAGGGAATTCCATCATGAACCTGCCTCCCAATAAAAATTGTAGAAAAATAATGGCTTAGTTTTTCTATAATTCTTACCTATGTTTCTTTTTGATATTTTTTTTTTCAGGACATAGATTAAACAACGAATACAGAATAAAAGTAAAAGTTTACTTAGCGAAACAAAGCGTAGAGAAACCCGAAAAAACCAAGGAGTATTGTACGAAACGAAAGAATGGGTATTGAATGAAAGAAAAAGAAAGGGTATTTAATGAAAGAAAAGAATTGGTATTGAACGAAAGAAAAGAAGAGGCAGTGAACGAAAAAAAAAGAATGGTATTGAATGAAAGAAAAGAATGTGTATTGAACAAAAGGAAAGAATAGATATTGAATGAAAGAAAAGAAGTGAGTATTGAACGAAAGAAAATACGTAGTACTGAATGAAAAATAAAGAAAGATAAGAAGGGATATTGAACGAAAGAAAAGAAGTGGTATTGAATGAAATATAAAGAAGAGGCAGTGAATGAAAGCTAAGAAGGGGTATTGAAAGAAAGAAAAGAATTGGTATTGAACGAAAGAAAACAAGCGGTAGTGAATGAAAGAAAACAATGGGTATTGAACAAAAGAAAAGAGGTGATATTGAATGAAAGAAAAGAAGTGGTATTCAATGAAAATAAAGAGAAAGAAGTGAATGAAATATAAAAAGGGGTATTGAACGAAAGAAAAGAAAGAGGATAGGAACGAAAGAAAATAACGGATATTGAATGAAAGAAAAGAAGTGGTACTGAACGAAACAAAGGAATTGGTATTGGACAAAACGAAAAAAAAGGAGTATTGCGCGCAATACTAAGGGTATTGGCCGAAACAAAATCAGAGTTCTCACTGAAACAATACAAGGTGTATTACACATAACAAGAAAAGGAGTATTTCATAAAACAAAAGGAGTATTGCATGAAGAGAGAGTCCATAATTTTCTATAATAAGAAGCTCTCGAATATTCAGGTCTGTAGATGAAAATAAATAAACATACTGTTTAATAGATAAACGGAGCGTTCCCTTAGATATGAGTCTCCACAAAAATAACGTATATATATATATATATATATATAAGTGGACACTAAAAGTCAACATCTATCGTCGATAGTCTGTTTCACGCTTGAACGTAACTGAAACAGACAGTTGCTTGATTTTGATCTCAGTGTTCACTATTATAATATATATATATATATATATATATATATATATATATATATATACAGGATATAGGATTGGTATATACGGAATAAATTCCAATAACCAACAAATACTATTCTTAAAGAGTGCTCAATACACAGTAGAGCAAATATAATTATTTATTCGGAATTTATAACATAAATATGTTATAAAACCACAACAAAAAAGCCATTTTGTTTCAATACTTCTGGTGTCTTAACAAGTGATGGTGGTTCAACACCATCACTTGATAAGACACCAGAAGTGTTGAACAACATGGCTATCATTGTCGTAATTTTATAACATACTAGCATATAACATATGAGCCTGGCGTTGCCCGGGAATGTAACAGTAAGAGATAGTATCGACCATCATAAAGACTGAAAAATAAAATTGACAAAGATTATTGTTTAAGGTTGACGGACAATCATGTCGTAATTAGTTTTTTTTTTTTACGAATTGGTCAAACCCAAACTCAAACAAAAACATTGTTTTCAATCGTTATGAGTCTACCGATTGAATAGAATTTTATTATAAACGGTTGTCTTGTAAATGGAATTTTTAAAGCATTCTGAATGTAAAAATAAAGAAAAAAGTGTGCAAGACAATAAGAAACACTACCTGCCAAAAAAAAGTGAAGTTTTGTTGAAATCGGTTGAAACGTGTAGGAAATCCGATCCCATATATAAACGAACACACACACACACACACACACACACACACACACACACAACCTTGGTTTTATAATAAGTATAACTCCCTATGAGTTGTCCTCTTTCATTCTCGCGATAGCGATGCCTCTTAATCGTGTTTTCAAATTGATTTTCTGCAAAAACAATTTTATTTTTCCAATTTTTGGCGCTGAAAGGTTGGAGGTAATTTTACGTAGTCCTTTGAAGTTTAGTTGAAATCGGTTGAAAAATGTAGAAAATCTGATCTAATATATAAACGAACAGACACGCATACAACCTGGGTTTTATAATAAGTATGATTTATGTTATAATTTGTTAATAAACAATTATATATATATATATATATATATATATATATATATATATATATATATATATTATACTTGCTGATCGAGGACACTTCGGAGTGTGACTATAAGTGAAATTCCTCTCGTATTCAAGTCCTCGAAGGATTTCGTTTAATAGCAAATTTCAAACTTTGTCTGATCATCCTGGCTAATAAGTGCCCGTAACGGTTAAGGCACGTCGGATCTAACAAAGTTTTCCATCTGCCCAGAGGGACGCAGGTTCGAACCCTGCCAAGAGAGCACTTATTCATATTTAATGCGATTTCTGAAATATTCAGGCCGGTAAACGAAAATGAATATAACGTTTAATAAATAAATGGACGTTAATTCAAATATGAATATCCAATAACAATAACGTTTAAAATGATCAAAATGAGTCAGATATGTCAAAATAGTATTTGGAATTGATTCTTATCTTTAAGGTAACTATGCCTTCGTTTTTACTTGAATATAAATAGATATCATGCTAGCTTACCTACCTCCTTACGGTGTCCATTGTATTTTCTGCACTCTCTGAAGCCCACGACGCTTTCCGACTATCAGACATGGGCTCGAATCTCATTTGATTTGACATTCGATGACTCATTTGACAATCTATTTAATGGAGAGCTAACTTCTTGATGTTATTGTCCTAGATAAGCCCCGTTGGAAAGTGCCTGAAAATAATAGCCTTGTGAATGAAATTGGACGACGGAATTGGTCGGAAGTTGTTGACGGTTGTGTTAAAACGGAGTCACAACTCACTGTGACTGAAGTTTTCAGCGTACTGGTCTTTTTCATAAAGGTGATCAAGCCAGAATACTCATATATTAGCCAGTCATTATATATATATATATATTTAATTTATATATATATGTTTCATTTCTCATATATATAATAATGGACTCTCCCGTCGGTTTCGACGTATGAGGATCTGACAGCTTAATTGATTCAGTTATGAAATTTTGTGCGATAAAGTGGCACTTAAGAGACGCTAGTGATTTACAAAGGAGGCCACATATGGAGCAAGTATGAAGATTGTGAGATATCACTGTTAGATTGGCTGACCTTTTAAATCTTGCTCTCGCTTCTTGAAGATGATTCAGACAAGCAGATTGAAAATTGCTGAGTCCACTAAAACACGTTGATCTTCATTTTACCCGCTCCAAAGCTAAGTACTCAAGGGTGTTATGTGGTATATTGACTGCTGACAAGTTGCTTTTCTGCTTGTCTTTGTATCTTAGCCATGGGCGTCCAACATTCCTGTAGCCCTTATCTAACTGGCTGTACATTAGGATCTTGGGTATCCTGTCATCAGACATTCTCAAGACATGACCAGTCCACCGTATATATCCGACCTTTGTAGCTTCGGCCAATACCAACAACCCATCTTAAGAAAACAATGAAACAGATGGAGTCGATTGTTTGTTTAACGAATCTATTGGGCTAGTAGGGTATGGCCACAATATGGTAACCTGGTTTCATTGCATTTCAACTGCACATCGACGGGTGAGAATCGAAAATGCTTATGAACAATTCTGCTTGTAGGCAAGCCGTATGTGAAACGTCACTTCCTTTTTTTCTATTTGTTTGAGAAGAAAAAACAAACAAACAAACAAAAAACAAACAAATGGAAAAAAGAAAGTGATGTTTCACACACGGCTTGCCTACAAGCAGGATTGTTCATAAGCATTTTCGATTCTCACCCGTGCAGTTGAAATGAAATGAAACCAAGTTGCATCTTAGTAGTGAGTAAAATGGTTTTGTCTATATGATAAAATTATAATAAATAAATAATTATCGCTCTACTATAGGTATCGAACCCTCTTTTGGATTAATGCTTTGAACGTTGGAATTTATATATTACTTTCGTTCTCATCGCATCAGATATATATATATATTTTTTTAAGCATTACGCCGCAGGCAAGGCGTGAAGCCACTAGGATGCAGGGGGTTGCGGAAGATTTGGAGCGAGAGCAGATAGGAGTGATAGGAGAAAGGAAGAGGAGAAGGATAGTGGGTAGATCAAGGTAATTGGAGATGTCGATTGACATTACATTTGAATAGTTGGAGATTATAGCTTTCAGGGAAACAGTAATTGGGGAGGGTGTTCCAGTGGCGAGAGGTACGAGGTATGAAGCTATTGGAGTAGAAGAGACGGCTACATTTGAAAGTTTCTAGGGTGTAAGGGTGGGAGCGGGATGCTTGCCTTGTAGGGTGCTTGAATTCATGGAGTCTGGGAACCAGTGAAAGCAGCTCCTCGGAGCAATTACCATGAAAGTATTTGTAGAAAAGACAGAGGGAGGCGACGGCGCGTCTGTGAAAGAGTGACTGCATATATATATATATATATATATATATATATATATATATATATATATATATAAGGGTGATTCATTAAGACATATCAAAGGCAGCAGTAAATAAATCAGTGCTATTAGTAAAAAAAATTATTTAATTCTCTATTGGATCCTGTTATTTAATTCATGGCAATTATGCGTGAAAAAATAATATCGCACAAATGTCCATCAAATCTGAAAGAAAAAAGAAAAAAATCGTTAGACGCATAAGATTAATTCACATTTAAAATCGGTCCAAGTTATTGGAACACACACACACACACACACACACACACACACACATATATATATATATATATATATATATATATATATATATATAACCAAGTATAGGGTTGGTGTATACGGAATAAATTCCAATAACCAAAAAAATACTATTCTTAAAAGAGTGCTCAATACAGAGTAGAGCAAATATAATTTATTCGAAAATTATAACATAAATATTTTATAAAATCCCTACAAAAATAGCCATTTTGTTTCAACACTTCTGGTGTCTTATCGAGTCATGGTGTTGAATGTAGAAGCTACTAACACCATCACTTGATAAGACACCAGAAGTGTTGAAACAAAATGGCTATTTTGTAGGGATTATATATATATATATATATATATATATATATATATATATATATATATATATATATAACATTTATTAAGACGAATTATGATTAATCTTTATGAAAATGTTCCACTAGTTTATTGCAGTCACTAGACCAACTTTATTTGGTCTGCTATGTATAATCTATTCTATCTTTGTTGGGAAAAGAAGAGTGAAATTTCTGAGGACATCATTATGGTTGAGTGAGTTATGCAACGAAATGAGTAATGGCAGTTTTAATGCTTCGTTTTCTGTTAGACGAGAGTGTCATGTTCGAACCTGTTAGTGTAAGCGAAAACAGACTAAGCGTTACAACGGCGCCTGAGGAAGAAAAAAAAAGCAAAGTTGTTCGCTTCACTGAAAGTATTTAACAAATTTGCTTGTGATACCAAAATAGAAAGTACGAAGAAGACAAAGATGTTGGTTGTTTGGTGGCATGATCCTGGATGTCGGCTAGATTAGGTTATGAAGGTTGGATGTGCGGATGGTGTAATGGATAATGGCTGCGAATGAGAAAGAAATCAGAGAGATCGGTATAAATCAATCCCACTCCCAGCTATAGTAGGGCTTGTATTTGGTAAAAAAGTAATCGTTAT